GAGCGGGCGGCCCAGGCTGGCCCTTCAGCCCCCTGGGCCTGGGCAGACCGGCTGCCAGGTGTGGAGATGCTGGAGGCTCGTTTGGCCGCCCCGCTCTGCCCCGGCCGCCGTCCCTCCGCGGGCGGAGCACTGGGACCGGAGATCCCCGCACACCCACAGGCGCGCACACCCCTGGTGGCCAGAAGCGCTTTTCTGATTTCCTTCCCTCAGGCCTGGCCATCCCACTGCAGGAAACATTCCCCTCCACAAGGCGCGGGGTTTTGGAGGCCTCCGCCCAAGACTACTGCAGCCAGAAAGCTGGGCAGGAAATGACAGGCTCACGCTCACCCTCGGGGATAAGCGCTGCCCAGGCTCGGTGGGCGGCGGAGGAGGGCGGAGCCAGAGGCGACCGAAGGGACCGGCGTGGGTAGCTCACCTTTGCACCTGGAGCTACAGAGTAGTGGGACGGGCTGGGGAACTTGGAGCCCCCTTTCATTTCAGGTTTTTTCGGTGCTTTTATTCCTTTAACCTTCGGATCCATTCCCCTTTCTGGAATCTGGATGGGCTCCGGAAGGACAGCAGAGGCGGGAGAATTCAGGAGGCCGAGGTGTTCTGAGAACTCTGGGCGTGATGCTATCTCTCAGAGCCTCCCTCTCTGTGGAAAGGGAGCTGGTTGGGCGTGTGGACGGTGGCGGGTGGCCTGAATAAAAAAGAAAAGGCAGACCCATTCCCAGCCCAAGGCATTCAAAGACATCCTCACCCCCAGCTGTCTCGTGTCCGGTAGAATGGCATTATGTAAAAGATCTGGCATGTCACCCAGTGGCACATCTGGTAGGTGTAGATGGCATTCATTAGCACGGGGCTTCTACTCTGCGGCATGCCAAAGCGCTGACAGAGATGCCCGCTGCCAATCATTCACTCGCTGCCAGTCCCAGAGCGCGGCCGGATGCGATGGCTCCCTTCCACCCTGGCAGGAGAACTAGAGGAAACAATGTGCTGAGACAGGAAAAGATGAAAGCGGAGCTGAGGACGCGAGGCACCCAGGGGATGTATGCCGTGAGGAGGTGATGGAGGAAGAGTCACGTAGCAAGAAAGCATATGAAGGAGCTCAGGAGGGAGGTTTGCTCGCGGTTCTGCCTGCCTGGGGCTGCACTGAGGGCAAGGATGGGGAACCCCTTTAGAAACCGGAAGTTGAGGTTGCTTCTGGAAAACACACAAAAACCCAACCCCTACTCCCTAATGCAAGACTTCCTTCTCCCTCTCCTTGGTTTGTCTCTTAACACCTCTACCTAGAACCCTACTTGGCTTTGCCTTGCTTGTGCCGTGACTTTCAGATGACCAAGATAAAGAGTGCCTTCCAGTTTTTAATTTTGCATAGTTCTACTGGCCTTGTAATTTGTGTGTGTTGTGTTTGCACGTGTGTGTGCCCGTGCCCCCGCATCAGCCCCTCTTGACAGCATTTTAATAGGTTAAGGTCTTGTTTCAATTCTTAGCCTTTTCAAGAGGATAAAGAGGGGGCTGGGGATTTAGCTCAGCAGCACAGCGCCTGCCTGGCAAGCGCGAGGTCGTGAGTTCGATTCCTGGTACTGGAAAAAAAAATTTTTTAAAAAAATTAAGAGGATAAAGATAAATAAAACAAAGAAATTGCTCAAAATGCAAAGGAAAATTAAACAATCTGGAATAGAGGCTGTCTTAAGCTGGATGGTGATTAACTAGCTGTTCAGTGTATTGCTTTTCTTCACCCATACATGTTTTATAAATACTCTTTTTACCCATTCAATATTTAATAAAACAAGAACAACAAAATTCAGGGCTTTTAAAGTATGTGCAACTCAGTCTATATGTTGAGCGAATCTAACAGCTTTTTATTACATGTATATTTATTTATCTAGCAACCTTGAATATGTTGGCTCTTGGTCACAATATAACTGCTATATATGTGTGTATTATCTACAAATTCTAGTGTTTTTAATATATGCTGTAAAATATTTGGGAATGCTGATACTATAAATTTATTCATGATTTATCTGAAATTCAAATTTAACTGGGCATCCTCTATATTTGTTTCCTATCTAGCAACCTTGAATATGTTGGCTCATAGGAATATATTGGTCACAATATAACTGCTATAATTCTAGGCATCATATTATTATTTTAAACACAAAGAAAGGGGCAGAGTTAAAGAGAAATGGTTGTTTCTTTTGATTAGTGCAGAAAATACTTTCATTTTTGATCAGCTGGACCTAGTCATCTGACCACAGATACCTAAGGAAACTGCCCTGAATTTATGATTATTACCTTTACTGCTACTATTATGAGTCCTCTCGGGAGTGGTTTGCATTCTCTGCCCTTTTTATATGGAAACAGAATCTCTGTCTCAAGGCTGGAACTTGGCTTTGCCTGCTTCAGCCTCTCAGGCAGCTGTGATTACAGGTTTAAACCACCATACCCAACCTGTGGAAAACAGTCTTCAGAGGGTAAAAGGAGTTGGATGTGACACCCAAGAGCTGCAGGGCTGGCTGCCTATGAAAGGTGTCTGTCAAGCAACCAAGGGCAGAGAGCAGTTTTTCTTAGCACCAAACAAGTATAGATTACCAAATAAAAGTCAGGTGTAAGAGTTATTTTTAAAAGTTTCAAGTACAGGGGCTGGGGATTTAGCTCAGCGGCAAAAGCGCCTGCCTGGCAAGCGCAAGGTCGTGAGTTCGATTCCCGGTACCGGAGAAAAACCAAAAATAAAAGTTTCAAGTACAAACTGGTTTAATTGCAGTCGTTAAAGAGATATTATACTTACATTTAGAAGCTTCTTTGTGCATTTCATCAAACTCCTTCAAAATAAGGACTTGGGTTCAATAAATATGCAGCTGACATAAAATCTGACTTACATTTAAGTAAGGTTAGTCTTTGCAAGACAAGTATGAATAGAACTTAATATATTTAAATGAAATAAGTGAAATGACTCTTGTTAGACAAATTTTGACTCAACAGACATGTAACTTTGGGTATTTTATCTCTCTAACTCATGTTTCCTCATCTGTAAGATGATATTGTTAATGCCTAGTAGATGTATCATAAAGCTTAGTGATCATGACTCATGTAGAAGGTTTTAAAACAGTTCCAGAGACCCGGAGAATTCTTCTGAGAGAGAGCATGTGGAGACTAGTTACAAAGTGTGGGCAGAGAACAAATAAAACTGTGGATGCTAGGATTTGACTATCAATTGGCTCTCTGAAAAGCAATGAAATTTGACTCCTGAGAGGTAGCAGGAGCTTTAAGAGATGCTGAGATTGTGGGAGCACCACATCATGAGTGGATTAATCCTTTCGTGGGATGGGGCTCACACTCAGGAGAGTGTGCTGTCATAAAGCAAGCCAAATGCCCAGTGGCTCCTCCTTTATCTGCCCTCCTGCATCTCTATCATGGTATGATGCAACACAAGGCCCATACCAGGTGTTGGCACCCTGCTGTTGCATTTCCCCAACCTTCAGGACGATAAGCCAAAATAAGCTCTTTCCTCCATTAATTACTGAATTTAGGGTCTTTTGCTACAGCAATAGAAAGAGACGAAGACAGTGAGGCTCACAGACGCAAGCTTGGCCAGAAGCTCTTGGGAGAATACTTGTATTTCTAGACCCTTCTAAGGACTGGAAGGCTGGAGGACGGACCAGTAACAGAGACATAGGTACTGCCTGGGAGGCAGTGGTTCAGTGAGAAGGGATCCAGAATAAACACTCTAGTCTTTTTTCTTTTTCACACAGTTCAATTTCATGTTAATTATGGGAACTATTGGCCGGACCCAAGGAAACTATCCTATAAGGTGTCAGGTGGTATTGAATCAGCATAGGTCACCTGCTAGCGAGATGGAGTTGGGGAAAGAAGGCTGGACCGTAGATCTGGGGGAAGCAAACGAAGAATAACCTATGCAAGACTAAGATTTTTCACAAAGAAATTTCTATGAGAACCCTTCCTATAAACATCTTTTTGATGCATAATTCCAATTGGAAGTAAAGACTTAACAGACTTTGTAAACTGAAGCATCCAAGTTTTTAAGAATCATCTCACAGAGGCATTTGGCAGAGAGGCTCCTACCAGCTCTCATGAAAGATTTGAAAAAGTCTTGGGAAACTTTGCAAGCCAAGACCTGGGAGAATTTGACTTCCTTCCTTTGAGCATCCTCAGCCCAGGTCTCTCATCATTTGTGGCTTCCTGTGTCATAAGCTGTCTTGCTGTGCCTGCTTAGTCATTTGCTGGCTGTTATTTTCCAGGCAGTTCAGCCAAAGATGACTACTTCATAACAGATCAACTCCACAGTAATAGGAAATACTACTAAGGGCTTCCTTGAATCCAGAGTCTGTGTGGGCTTCAGATTGCAGAAAGTTTTCCTCTTTCCAGCTTTGCCCTCCCCATTTTTTATTCCTGAAGCTGAAGTCATAGGCAAAATGAGGAATGAGGACAGCGGTGGAGAAACATGTCGCCTTCTGTGAAACTGAGATGAAGCCTTAGCCAGGATCAGAATCTTGAATGTTCACTCCAGCTATTAACACACACAAAAGCCTCACTGCCAAACCTCCCAGAAACTTGGATTTGAAAACTTGAAAGAACTGATACAAGGTTGGCACTGGCAGTTTTAATGGAAAGGAACAAATATAGCAAAAATGAAAATGAAGAGCGAAAGGCAAAGACGAATCCTTCTGGAAGTATAATACCACAGACAGTCAAATAATAAATAGCAGTGAAATAGATTGATTTCTGGAAAGACTAATGAAAATTACATATAAAGGAGCAACAATTTAAATTATCCAAAAATTACCTTAAGGGTAAAAAGCAAAAGAGAAAATATGTATTCAAGGAACTCTATGAAAATCTGGGAAGAAAGGTGATTCTATAGTACTTTGCAGATCACTCCCTTCCTTGTCCTTCCTAGGTCAGCAAGGCAAAAGTGCTACTCCAAACAGCTGCTGCTGAGAACACAGCTCTTTCTATTCCCCAGGTTGAAGCTGGAGGGCTTCCAGCACAAGAAGGAGCAGGCATTCAGGTTTTCTCAGCCAACCCCAGCTGCCTGTTGCTAAAACAAAGTCTCAGAGGAATAAAATTGGTAGTTGGAAATTTCTTCTTGCGCTCAACTTGGAAATGCTATCTTGGGTGTGGTATATTGAGAATACTAGAGTTCTGATTGCTCTGCCCTTGGCCCTTGAAGAGAAGATTCCGCATTCTGAGGGGCAGGGTGATAGAACTGCAGGCTACAATCTTAGAGAGAAGTCCTTCATTGTCTCTTCCCCTAGTTCCTCAGCTCTTGACTCAGAAATTTTGCCCCTGGGAAAGAATCATGCCATAAATCAGATAGCTCCTAATTTGTTCCAGAAGGAGCTGACTTCACTGGAAACCAAGTGTAGAGAAGTTTAAACCTAAGGGCACTCTTCAGAACAGTAGAGACTGGACAGAACCAACTGAAAAGATTAAGAGATTGAATGAAGATGTAGTCTAAACTGTAGGTCAGGTATATTGTGGGACAAGAAATGGGAAATAGGACATCTTGGAGGAGCCTTCCTGGGGTTAATACAAATATCAGCGCTGCCCTTTGAGTCTATTCAATCCTAAGAATCACACAAGGATTGAATCAGTTTGTGGAGGGATTTATGTACCAAGGTACTGTTGACAACAATAGAGTAATGGGCAGAATTAGGGGAGTTTACCAGCTGGATGTAGTCAGGAAAAGGGTGGAAAAGAACCCTATCTGTATCACTGTCATCCCAGGGCGACTCCAGGGTAATCTCAAAGCTGTGCCTCTTTGATTAGAGAGCTTCAGAGGTTTACAACAATGTGTGCGAAGGTCAGGGAGGGAGTGGGAGGTGGACTGGATTTCACTAAATTCACCCAGCAGTCACTTAGCAAATAAACAAGAAAATAATTACAAGCCTGGGGAAGGGAGGGATAAATTTCCAGAACTGCTACAATCTAAAATGCCAAATTTCTAGCAAAAAATTGTGATGCATGCAAAGGAAAAAGAAGTATGATCTATATTCTACATAAAAGACAATGAAAAGAACACTTACCATATACTTGCCTTTGTAAGTCTAAATTGTGAAAGTGACTAAAAAAAAAGAAAAAATCATAGATTATTAGACTGGATTACAAAACATGATCTAACGTATGTTGTCTGAAAGACAGACACATTTGATTTAAAGA